ATTTTCGTTTAACTGTTATTTATATTTATACTTTGGTTTGTTATCACTTTTGTGATAATAACACTTCTCAGATATGTTTTTATCATTCACAAGAAGGTTTGACATCCTAAATTACTTCGAAGCATTATATATATAGCACAATCGTTATCGAAAAATTAATAGAACAGCGAGTGGGTTGAAATTAGGAGATCAGGAATGAGAGATCTTACAGAAAAGGTTCCAATTTTCTTCAAATAAATAAGATTGAAAGGTTTAAAAAAAATAATAATGATTATTTATATTATCAAACCATTCATTTGTTTAAGGAGCTTATATGTAGAGTAATACTAAATAGTAGGATTTATTGATTGGTATAAATAGAATTAGTTTGATATGAAGAAATTACGGTTAATTATTGTATCCTAAATTATTATTTCAATAAAGAATACTAACTTTCTCTTCTGATCTTTTTGCATTCCCAATTTAAATCTATTCTTCTCTCTTTTTATATCAAAATGCTACTCTTTTTATCTCTCACATATTTGTTTCAGACAATCTGAAGAAAATGAAGCGTAATACATGCTGCCAGTGTTGTCCATCATAGAAGTTAAAAGTGGAAAATTTGAAAACTTTATACTTCTTCAATGGATGATCATTTTACGTGGAATCAATCAATTGATTGATCAAATCGTTTCCTATCTTTTCGATCATCTTTGCTGAGTGATTAAGAAAGTTTAATGTTCAAATACAGCCAATCTCAGAAAAAGAAAAAAAATGTTCCAACTTTTATAAACACAAACTTATTTCGTTTATATTTTTAGGTTATGTACAGTGTAAAATGAAGTACACCTTCAATTTTTTTGTAATAAGCAAATAAACATCGTAAACGTTTGCTTTGCATTTCTATTTATTAATGTTGCAGAATTTGGGGACAAGGAAAAGGTTGAATGACGATAAGCTTGACTTATTATCTCGGCATGAAAATATCCTCCGACACTTCAAACATCGAATTTATAATGTGTAATGCTCGGAGATATACTTCTAATATCATTTCCTTCTCTTCTAATTAAATGAAGGCTATCATAACGATGCATTTTCAAAATGATCAAATCAGACTAACTGGTATCCCGATTATTCACACTCTCATCCATGCCTAATCTATGTGTAATCATCCATCGTAGGGATGAAGACTTTCGGATGCTAACACTACTGTATATTACCAGAGGATTGGATAGGCAAAAAATCTGATTTCGCACAATTAAATTTGAAATTTCAATTCCTCCTCCTGCTAAACTTAACAGCAGCCTTCTTCTTTTCTCCTACTTTTCTCGCCCTTTTTTCTTCATATCTCACAAATCATTTCGTTCTCTTTTCGATACAATTCCAATTTTTCTTCCCAATGATAAATTAGCTCATTGCCTTTCTTCGACAAAAAGGATAAAATTATTTCAAAGAAGAAATTTTTCAATTCAATCCCTTCTTTCAAAAATCTTAATAAATTCTTTTAATTCTTTTCTTTTTCATTTTAAAATTAGAAATTCATGTAATTAAGAACAGTGAAAAGGGACTACCTTTCCTTCTTATAATATATTTTATGGAAAAATAAAACGAAAGAAAAAATGGTAAAACCAAGAAAATGAAATACAAGAAAAGCAAAATCTACAAGAAACGTAATATACACACAGTGATAAAATTAATACACAGTGGATTGATTGATTGATTGATTCTCAATAAGTCGAAAAAAAGAACAATAAGAAAATAATAACAAACTAACCAAATAATAAGAATATAAATACATCATAGTTTTATAATTAAAATGAAATAAATTAATTGTATCATTACGCCTTTTGAAATTTGTAGTCAGAAACAAAAATAAATAACAAACAAATCTTTGAAATGACAAATTAGGAATAAGAATTATTTCAAAAATAGGAAATGAATTAAATAAAGTTAATGCATGGCATTTAACTTTTGCATGCAAAATAAATGGTATACCAAGAATTGATTATAATAATATAATACGCCCGTGGATTAATTAGGATTAATTCACCCAATAATCACCTAAAAATCATCCTAACCTTCGGCTTTTCCATTTCAGATTTCATTATAATTTTCCTATTGATTTAATAGCGACGATTATTTATTTCGTCTTCATTTCCTCCCACTGATCATAGTTATATTGACCATCGTTGATAAAAGAAAAAAGAAAATAACCTAAAACTTTGAAAGCTACGTAGTCTGTTCATCTTAAATAGATAGACGACATATTTATTCGTTATATTATAATTCAATCCTACTATCCAATACTTCATTGTTCAAAGACAGTTTGGAAGATCTCAGAACCAAATCGAGCTAAAATTCTTTTTTTTTTTATTCATCAATGAATCTAAACGTGAAAGTACGAGAAAAGAAATGAAAAGTTGGCAAAATAAATGAATGGCATGAAGTGGAGATTAATTATTTCACTTTACCTACTAAACTTCGTTTCAAATTTTGGTATTTCCTCCTTTAATATGTAGAGGAAAAGAGCTGAAATTATTAGGGATAATAAATTGTTCGAACAACAATGATGAATATTACTCCTATTACTGCTCTACTACTACTACTACTGTTACTGCTACTATTACTACTACTACTGCCACCATTTTTACAGCAATAAATTTCGATCAAAATTTTCCCTCGAATAAAGGATAAATAATTATGACTAATTTGTAAAACGTATTATGGAATAGAATAAAATGAATTGAATAGATTGAATCGTTAACGTTTTAAGACCCGTTTCATGAATTCGGAAATTGGGCACAACTGAAATGAAACGAAGCAAAGCGAAATTTACATAGAATCGATGAAAGCACAGATTTCATTTCACTATTTGAACATATAAATATTGCGGCAAGATATAAGCATTACAAAGAATCAAATTATTTCAAAGACTGCCAAAAAAAGCAAATACTATTTTCAACATTGTTTTTTTTTTTTAGGTCACCAGCTCGCTGTTCGTCTTAAAAGTTATATGCCGATAGATTAACCTATCTGAAATTAATTACTGAAGGATCAGTAATCATAATTTGTTACGGTCGAATGAATTTATGAACCATTTTTATTTATAGAAACCTGTCCAGGAAATCTACGTTCAGAAAAGAGGAATTATTATATTACTGTCTTCTCCATCCTTGATTCATACGAACTCGGTTTGTTTTTCCATTACTGTTGCAGTACCAATCAAAATCAATCAGCCTTCTCTCCTCACGTCCTCAATAGGGCTACTACCTTCCCGACTGCATGATATCTTCTTCGCGCTTCTGTCGTGCCAGTTGTTCCAGTGTATTGGAATAGGGATTCTTGCCACTGTACAATGCTTGCTGCAAATTAGCTGCAGCGGCTGCATTACCAAGTGACATCAGATTGGAATTGAAAAGACCAGCTGCAGCACTAAGACTCTGCGGTAATCCTGCTGCCGCAGCTGCTGCCGCTGCAGCATTTGACGACATAGCTGCTGCCGCAGCCGGCCCAGGAATTCCACCGGGAGGTGTAGCACCAGTTAAAGTGTATGTTGATGGAAGACCACGCGAAGCATTGTAAAGTTGCTGTTGTTGTTGCTGGTGCTGCTGACGTTGCATTTCAAGCAGTGCTTCTAACGACGGTTGCGATTGTTGCTGTCGTATTTGTGCGGCAAAAAGTTGTTGTCGCATGAGTTCAAGGTTCGAAGTTGGTGCCATCGATGTACTACTACCTATAGCTGAGGCACTACTCAAAGCCACCATATAACGATCCATCATTTGCTGTTCCATTTGCATCCGAACCAGATCGAGAGATGATGGTGGTGGAGGTGGTGGTTGAGGCGCACCACTAACTGGAACATGTGGTCCGGTTGCTGCATTAGAACTCATTTGCGCTGCTGCGGCTGATTGTCGCAATGCTTCCATCTAAAAGAAAACACAAATTAAATATCTTACTGAGTGGTTGGAGACAAGAAAAATCTCTGGCGAAAACTTGAGGAAATTCGAAAATCTTCCGAAAGTGAAGACATTCTAAAAAATTTTTGGAATGTCTTCCAATAACTTTTAGCAAGGTGAAAATATGACATTTTCTTGTAATCGATCTTAACCTACCGACTGCATCTGTTGCAATACAGCAGCCATATTGGGATCGAATAATCGCTGTGACGAATAAACAGATTGCGCCTGTGAAGTAACTGCCGTAAGAGGATGCGGTTGAGCAGATGCGGCCGCGGCAGATGGCAATAGATAGGATGCGGAGGAAAGTGAACCATTCGGAAGAGCAGCTGTAGCTGCATTCTGTTGGGCATTTTGTAGTGCAGCAAACATAGCCGCTTGAGCTGCTACTTCACTGGTGCCATTGGTGAGGGAGGCGGTAGCACCGGGTAAATTCGGTGCCAGAGGTAACGATGAACCAAGAACACCGGGTAGGGCACTTGGAAGAGATCCTTGAAGCGGAGGAATAGTACCACCAGCTGCAACTGCCGCAGCTGCAGCTACGGCCATCGATGGTGTCATTAGGCCACCGGCACCACTACCAGTATTGCCACCACCAAGTTGCAAATGTAATGCAGACGTTGTTGGGCTACGACTTATAGCTGTCGTTGAACGACCTTGCGACTGTTTCGGCGTTGCGCTGAAAATTTTAGCAAGCCATTTTCGTTTGATTAAACGAATTATATTGAAAAAATGAAATAAATCATAAAAAAAGTTAAACTGAATCGACAATATTCATGAAAAACTATTAACCACAAGTTACTAAAAATTTCAAAAAAAATCGAAAAATCTTTTCCATTATTATTCCATATTCATCAAATATAGAATAATAGTGGGAAAGATTTCTCGAATATGCACAAATGATACAGCCATAATGATAGAGATTAATGATAATAATGCAATGATTGTCAGATTATTGAGACATGGTTCATTATTTTAAGCATGTCTATTTCTTTAGATACTTTTTTTCATCCAAACTAATGACAATATTATATCAGCAATGAGATTTGTTCATGGAAAAACGAAAATCATACGCACCTTTGACGAGCCAATTTATTCGGATCAGAGAGTTGCTGGAACGGTAGAGTGAAAGGTGATGATAAAGCACCGGATTGAGCTAACACAGGAAACGATGTTGGCAGTCCGCTACCCAAACTGAAATCAATTAATGAAATGATTCATTGTATCAACTGTAAAAAATCATCTTATTGAGGAATTTTATTATATGAAAATATGACACCGACTACCGATCTTCTCAGCAACTAACTATGCAATAAGATTTAAAAAGAAGAAAAAAGTTATCGAAAACAGCTTGCAAGCTGCACAATAATAAATTCATTCATAATAATAACACACAGTTGCCAAAGAAAATTGCAAAAAGGAAACATCAAATTCGAATTAATCTTTCATTACTGCCTTAGCTTTTTATTGATTTGTAAGATTCGAATATGTTTAGAACACAAAATTGCAAACATTTCTTAGTTGCACAAGAAGAAATAATAGAAAATACAAAATATCTAAAATGTTTTTTATTGCAAAATAAAAAAATGCTAAAATAAGACAATAAAATCTTCTTTGTCATTCCATATTGTTTATTTGTTATTAGATTATTTATTAATAATTATTTATTAATTCATACATTCATCTGCTCTAACCAATTTGACCTTTAACATTCTAATAAATTCATCTAATGCATACATTTTTCGGAAAAAAGAAAAATTCAGATTTTTTTCCGCAAATTTTACTTTCATTCCACTTTGTAAAAACAAAGAAAAAAGTGAAATAAATGGGTTAATGGCAGATCGTTAAAGACCTATGTATGTATAACTGCAAATATTATTCGAACAACTTGATGATTCGAATAAAACCTAATGAAATTCCTATAAAGAAAAAAACTAATTAATTTATGTTCCTTAATCCGGAGAATTTTTTTAGCATATATCCTATCAATCTAGACAGCTATCTTACCATATACAATTCCAATACCTATCAAATTGCATCTACTATTTACCTGCATCAAGCAAAAGGGAAAAAAATTTATCATTATTCAAATTTTAATTAAACCACGCAGTTAACTATTCGGCTCGTTCCCATTCTAAATATCCATCTCAATTCCGGACTAATAAACCCACAGTCTTCTAGACAATTCCAGAGGTAATTCTAGATTTCAGCTATAGTTCCCATAAATCTCAATCTAATTTTAATTCCTCAGCTGCTCCGACTTTGTTCAAAAATTCGCTGTTTCTTTCCCTCTCTCTCGAGGCAATCCCATTTCTTTCAGCTTTTTACTTTTTCTTAATAATAGCAATGAACAAAAAAATCATTTAAAGAATTAAAACGCCAATCTTTTGTTGGATACCTGGAAAAATCACAGAAGATTACGCCATCTTACCCCATAATTCCCATAAACAATAATAATATTGTTAATCAGTAAAAAAATCTCTTCTGGAAATCATTTCCTTTTAATCAATGATTTTGAAATAAATAGATTAAGTTTAAATCAAAAAATTAATTAGAAATTTAACTTAAACTTCAAATTGCAAATATTTCAATTCGAACAATTATTCCACACTCATACAAATACAAACAACAGTTCCAACAATCCAAAATCAAATTTATATTTTCAAGTACTTAATATTGCACGATTTATGTAATTCCTCCTGATGACACTTGTCCGCCCGATTAATGGCAGTATATTCACGGAATTTAAAATTTCAAAAAGTAGTTACTCACCTTGGCATATTAGAACTTGAAGTAGAAGGCGGACAGAACGGAGCCATTACACCACCCGTCCTCATTGTAGGCGCATTATTACTGTTTTGCGATGATGGTGCTACTGAAGATGACGATGAACTTTGTGATACAGCAGCTGCAACAATCGATGGCTGTGGTGTTGAACGGCGCTCCTTCTTCGATAATATTTCATACGCTATTTTGATATGCATTGCACACCATCGTCCTTGTTTTGCCTAAAAACGAAATCTAAGAAATGAAAAATTCGACTTTAGCTGTTGTATTGGATGAATTATGCAATTCCTCATTACAACCGGGAATGCCATACCAAATAATTTCGAAAAATCCTGATGTCCAATATCATATCCTATATTTCTTTCCCAACCAACTTTATTTTAGTCCCAAAGAAGCTTTTGCTTTTACTCTATCTAATCCCCTTGACTGCTTGATCATGATTTTAGAAAATTTTCAAAACCTAAATAATGTTAAATAGTATGGTATCTCCTTCTTTTTCAGTATAACTAGAACAGAAATTATTACATATGAACAAAAACACATTATACCGCAACCAATATTTCTGCACTGCTTCCTTATTATACTTTAATTAAAAACGAATTGTTTCCTTAAGTTTGATAACCCGACTATAAGTAGTGCTTTCCAACAGATTATTTCTGTGTTTGATGAGAGACTATGTCTAGAGGAACATATCTTATGTTGAGAAATACTTTATTTAGGCTGGCATAGATGTTATTTCAAAATGATAAAGAATAATAAAAAATGTTTTGTGAGAAAAAACATGCCTATTTTACCGTTTCCCAACTAAACCTTCAGGGCACTGCAAGTCTTTTTTTAAAAAATTCGAAATTCCTAATCACAGATATACATACTAAAGATATTTTACTCTTGCATAAAGATAGTCTTAACATACTATTCGTATAATAGCTAATGAAAGCTTAATTTAAAACCAATGGAACACCTCGAAAATTTAACTTTGCAAACAACAAATACTTAGCGATTACACGCAGGAAATAAGAATACCTTAGAGGTAGTACTTGGAAAAAATTTTTTTTGATTTTCATTAAAAAATGAATAAAAAAGCAAGAAAAAAATTGCTACCTTCATAGGTAATGGTTGAGTACCAGCGATTGGTAAAGTCCGTCCTAATAATGCAGCACTAGCAAGTTGTGAACTAAGTGCAGTGCCGGGTGGAAATTGGATACAGCCCATTGATGATGTGGTTGAGGTTGAAGGCTGCGCTGCTGCTGAAAGGGTTGTTGGTGGTGCAGTACCTTGAGCAAGTGACATCGACTGAAATCAATCGAAAATAAATATGTTATGAAGAGATGAATAAGTCATCAGGAAAAAATTACTCGAGGAAAATAAAAATTCAAATTCATCATTAATAACCATTTAAAAGAAGGAAAAAAGTCTTTTTGTTCTTATAAAAATAAATTTCCAAAATGACTATCACAGCTAGCCAAACAATCACAAAGACAGAAATCCCATTTTCAATTAGGGAAAAATTCATTCCGTGACAGAAAATAGGAAAAAGCCTCTATAATGATATCAGCTGTCAAACGGTTGCTCATTTCGCTGCTAATTCACCTGCTGATAGGTATCGCTGGAATGCTTAGCTGATATTTCGAAAAGACACGAAAAAACAAATTTTCCAAATTAAAAGCATTTAGTTAACCTGTTGTGTTTGCTGTTGTTGCTGAAGAATTTGTGCGGCAAGAAATGGGAATGCAGCTGCAGCATTCGGTGGTGCACCAGGAAAAAATAAATTACCGAAATCGGCACCACCAATTGTAGATCCGGCACCACCACCAGCAGCAGCAGCAGCGGCTGCAGCGGCAGCATTCAATGCAGCAAGATTGGTGCCACCAAAAAATGCTTGTCGAAATGGATCAAGTAAAGATGCAGCGGGTGGTGGTGGTGGTAGTGGTGCTGATGGTGGACCGGTTGCTCCACGATTATCCGTATTGGTGGTACCAACGGTAGCACCTGCAACAGCTGATGATAGCTCATTCCGTCCGGTAGGAGCAAGTACACCAATCGAAAGTCCAGCTGGTTCACCACTTAAGGAATTAACAGACGACAAGTTCGGTAGATTTATTGATGGTGCAGCGCTAACACCTGTTTGTTGCTGTTGTTGATGACTTGCAACCACTGATGTTGACGGTACATCGTGTCCTGGATCCACTGGATGTGTCGCTGCAACACGGTACATCGTAATCCCTTGGGCAAACGGTTCAACTATTTCTAATAATCTTCCTATCTCGCAAAAAACCCATTTTTTTCAACCCATAAAACTATCGCCTGCTATTTGCTGTAATCAAGACATCGAGATATTTTGATGCCTTCACAGAAAACTCCGAAAAATGCGATAAAAAGACGAAATAACACTATGTATGTCATTTATCCTAATATACATTTTCTAAACGATGTGACCTTCCATTTTTATTTAAATGTCAACATTATCATCGACGACTTAGACCATCTCCCATACTCCTACTATGAATATACATTACAGATAATTCGATAATTTAACCAGCTCTATCGCGATCAACAATCATTTTTTATGACACTGCGCACAAACAACAGTAAAATTATAAAAATAAAAAGAAAAATCTGAGAGTACAAGCAATCTCGACATTATCCATGAGACATTAAGTTATTTTAGAAGACATCAAATCAACTCCTCCTCCTTCTTCTTTCTCGAATTCCTTTCTTTCGCAAGTTTGCATTAACAAACTACTATATAAACAGAGTAAAATATTTCGATAGAAAAAGTTTAAAAAATTTGGAAGTGAGATGAACAGTAATAAGCTCACTTTCAACAGAAGCTGATGATGTAGGATCACGTGCATCAGTCATTCGTGATAATTGCCCATTCCATGCCATTTGTCCAAGATTATCTGCAGCAGCTGACATGTCAACCTTCGTTACGATAGTGTTCACACGTGTTGCTCCTGCTGTACCGCCACCGCTACGTGGTGGTGATCCGCTCATTATCGCTGATATATCTGTCTTTGTTGCTATGCCAATTAGACCATTTCTGAAAATGGCTTAATTTAAAGAATTCTAAAATAACATAAATGCAAAAGGAGAATGGAAAATACCAAAAATAAACAAAACACAATCACCATTTTTCATTCCTAAAAAAAGAAGACGTAAGTAATGGTGACTGAATCGATAACAGAAATCTATTTTTTTTTTTTGAAAATTTAAAGCAAGCAATGATATCACACTGTTCCGCATGCAATACGGGCGAATTATTTGTCGATCCGTAGAGATAATCCGATGATTTTCTATCTTGGATAAGACGTGTCGAACATACGGACCCCCGAAATAGGGAGATACACATGGAATAGAAAAGTGCTAACATTGGAAAGCATGCCTAACATTAATTTAAATTTCGATATTTTTTCTCCTATTATTAATCTTAATTTCATTTAATGATTTCCTTTTGTTGTTAATTCAAATTCTAGCAAATTCCCTATTTCCGATTCACAAAATATCGGATAATTTCATTCCCAATAATTCTTCTGCTACTGATGGAAAATAGTCCTTAATTTGCGTTTGTTCGATAATTGAATGCATTACACTCGCGATCATAATTATATTCCGCTGCTGATAACAAGAAGTAAACAAACTTCTTTACGCTGATAATTTTCACCCTCGCCACAACTTATGATCGATGTTTCAAAGTACGGACATCCGTCTTTCCCAATATTTTCATCTTCACTAACCCCACTTCCTCTATTTTCAAAAAATAAATCTTAATAGTTTTACGGAACAATGATGAGATATAAATACCACCACAGGCACTCATTTTTTATAAAAAAATCTATTTGTAAATTGATACTACCATTACAGGATCTTATTATAAACCGATTATATACATTCCATCAACAGCTTCATAGCCAAATGGATGGAGTGATGGAATGAATAGTTTGCTGTTGTGAAAATGACAAGGAAAAGGAACATCAACTTCAATTGAAAGGGAATAGAGAAACCGGAAAGAAATGCCTTCAAATCGAAATTTATGCAGTGTTTCGAGCCTGCCTAATGCCAGACGATTATGCGTATTGAGTATCATCAGTCTTCTTCTTCGAAAAAAAAAAATGCAATTAAATGCTAAAATGCCGTAAAAAAAGCAGCTATATATACATGGGTATTTTTTGGTGATAATTAGGTAGAAAGAATCAAAGATTAGCCGCCCTCTTTCAAATGTTTCAAAAATTAGCGCCGTTTTTTATCGAAGAAAGAAATTTGGGAAGGGAAATAATGCATAATTGTACAATTAAAGATCGGTTTTCTTTCAGATTTTAGCTGTCCATTTTTCCACTTTCATAATTTCATTCTAAATTTGTTACTTTTCCTGATTGGTTTGAAAACTGTTTGCCAAAATTTTGTGACATATATTACTTCTTCCTTGATGCAAGTGGATGGATTATATTTCGACATACATTCATACTTTAGCTTATGCAAATTCGCCTTTCCAAAATCTTCATCCAAACTTTATTTAGCAACAGTTACCGGACAATTCTAACGGGAGAAATGGGAGATTTGTATCTTAAACTCTTCTTCATCTTAGGTAATTTTTCGAGAATAATAAATACTAGTCAAAACCACTCTAATAAAACAAATTGAAGGGATTAAATCCGATATGAAATTAATGAAGAGAAGGAGCGAAAAAAAAGAGAGAACTAACTTATGATCCTCCTGATGATTCGATTCCAATTTGACCCGTTTCTCATATCCAACACCATCCATGAGTAAATCAGATGGTCGCTTAAGCATATTACTCAATGCATTATTTTGGTTACCAATGGTAGCAACATTTGCAGAACACACCGAAATACCAGTATCATTCATCCAGGCTGCTGTTGTTGCACCACCGTTTCCTTCGATATGTGCTGTTTCGCTTGCAGCAGCTTCAATTCGTCCTAATGATCGTGAATAACGCTGAAAAGCAAAAAACAATGAATAATTAAAATAAACACACAGAAATTACCATTATAAAAAATCACTCCAAAACAAATCAACAAACATGGACATCACATCATTTCATTTTCCCATATATCCATCCACCAATTCATTTCGCTTATATTTTCTCTTTCACATATTCACACATGACACACATACAATTTAATCATTTCATATTATATTTTTGTCACATAAACACACGTACACATACACATACACGCACAATATATATATATATATATATACACATTCAAACAAAAAAGAAAATATCGGTAGTGTATCAAAAGAATGATCAAAGATTATGAATGGAAAGAATTGTAAATATATCCAACATGGACGTTTACAACCATTTCTTTTAACTAAATATCAATTGCAGCAGAAATTTAACATCAAAACTATCGCTACCATCATCTAATCATACGTACATACACACACACACACACACCCATACACACATACACGCTCACACACATACATATACACAACATTTCCTGCTCTTTCAAATCTCATACTCCTTCTTCCCCTTCTCATCACCAACATCAGTACCGCCACCGCCATCCATCGAAATGAGAAAAAGTTCAACATAGAAGAAAGACAATGAAATTAGTACGATAAAATATGAGAGCGCACAACAAATGCTAATTTTTCATCACTACGACAATAACATATTGTGAATGACAATCATTCAACCATTCATTCATCAAATATTTTAATATAACAATTTTTAAAACTATCATTTCAAACAAAAACAGCAGAAAAAGGAGTGGAAAAAGAGAAAGAAAAAAAGCGAAAAAGTGCGCAAAGAAGGAAAGAAGGAAGGAAGAAAAGTAATGAGGAATGTTATCAATAATGGATGATGAAAAATCCTGATATATTGCGCTTGGAGCAAACTTCCAACTGTCAGCATTTCATCTTTAGGAAGCATTAAATACAAGAAAAAAAGAATCGATATAAATGAATAATTTCGTTGATAAAACAATATTACTTAAGATTGTTTCTGACTAGAAAAAGGAACAGTAATGAAGAAAGGTTTTAGAGTATGTGTGTGTGTGTGTGTGTGTGTGTGTATTTCGTATTATTAATCTTGGAAACGGTATAGTATGAAAAATGAAAAAAACTAATAATTACAGTTTATATATTACTATATTATCATTATAATATTGCATTCTCAACATCTATTCGAAATCCTTTTTTCTTTCTTTAATAATGAACTGTTAAATTATGAATATAAATGGAAAATTGTATAAATTAGCGGGCAACTATGTAAAAAGAAAGTAAAGAATAGCTTACTCTGCAAAGGAATAAACAAATTAATTGAATGTCGTAAATCGGCATGTAATTATGCAAAATGAGGTAAAAAAGAACGAATCAAATAATGAATAACTTATTTGCAAATGAATAAATAAATTAACAGAATGTTGTAAATCGGCACATAATTATATAAAAGGAAAAAAAAGGGTAGAATGAGCAAATAAATCAAATGAAGATTTCAATTGAAGATTTACATTTGGAATAAATTGACAAATGAAGAAATGTAGTCTTCAAAAGCATATGAATAAAATAAGCAAATAAAATTACATGTTGAAATAAATGAACGGCCTGAAAAGACTGAAATCGTTTTGATCATATAAACATATTAGAAGTTCCGCGATAAATTAATGGTGACTACGAAAGAATGGCGAGAGATTGCGGGGGAGAGAGTACAGGGAAGAGAAAATTCAGCGCCCACATTTTAATCACAACGAAGAATAATGTCCTCCACTTCATAAACAGTTTTGATGAATAATATGCCATATAATGAAGAGATGAGAGAATATATAAGGGGAAAGAAAAGGTTAATATTTAACATTATTTAGAAAAAATTGAAATGTTAAAATCAAATAATTTGAATATGTGAAAAGTTAAACAAATTAAAACTAACACTATTTGAATTTCACATATTTCTGTTACTTTTTTCCTGATATGTCTGCAGCCTTTGTTTCCTTCTGGTACATAAATTTAGCGAAATTTGATGGAAATTTCAAAAACTGAATTATTTTTTGTCAGCAAAAGAGCGGAATTGTGAGAAGCTGGCAAGAAAAAAGTGGTCAAATAAGGCTTTCTAAAGAGATAAAATAGATAGATATGCATTCATATACGACAGAAAAGAATAATTCCTTATAAGATATTTATATATAATTGTTTGAATAATTTCTAAAAAAAAGGGTAAAAGCTGAAACTTGGAAATATATATATATATATATATATATAATTAGAAAACAATGATCGATAACAGTATAGATGGCAAAAAAATTTATTCAAAATCTATAATCATTCAGTTGTTATTGATAAGTTAGAAGAGAAAGATGAAATGAAGAGAGTGTTCTTGTTTCCTATGTTGTGATATAAAGAGAAGAGAAAAGAAGGGATTAAGAAAGATGAAATTATTTCGAACTAAAAAGCAAATTTTTTTTTGTTTCATTGTTTTAATTTCAATTTTAAACATTTCCTTACAAATATGACAAATTGCACGGAGAAATATTTTACAATGAAAAGGAAAAAAAGAAATAAACAAATTGTTCGAATTCTTTGTTTGCTTTTTTTCTTATGCTTTAAAACATTGTTTCTTTCATTAAAATAAATGAATGAATGAATGATTGATGAGAAGTGAAGAGAAATTAGAGAGGAATAGAGAAAAAGATGTGAACAAAATTGTTGCCTAAAAAAAAACACGAATTTAATAAATTTTCTTTTTCGTGCAAATTAAATTTTACAAAGAGAAATATTTCACTTTAACAAAAGAAAAGAGAAGAAGAATGATGAGGGAAGGAAGGAGAGAGAGGGAAAGAGAGAGAGAGAGGGAGGGAGAAATCCTATTTTACAGTTAATTAAATAAAAAAATGAAAAAAACAAAAAAATCGTATGATTTCTCCTCTCTTCTTTTTTTCTCTTTCTCTTCCTATATCGACACTTTGATCTTTCTCATTTTCCCTTCACTATTTTCTTTTGATTAACATTACGGCAGCATGGTTGGTACATCCATAACCGAGCAAATTTTAATTTATCGAGAGAAAAAATATAATGGGAGAGGGACGGATAAAGCGAGAGAGAAAAAGGAAAGGACAAATTAATTTCGGAAATAATCAATCGTAGAATAGCTATAGTAATAATATGATAATTATGAATTTCTGATCCGATAATTTTCACAATTTTTGAAAATTTCCAAAATTTATTGATGATGCATCGTTTTTCTTTGATCAAAAAAAAAATGTAAATTTGAGAGATCGAAGTTTGCAAATTAATTAGAATTCAGAGAATATTCTAAACAATTATTATGAACGATATTTTGCAAACAGATATCAAATCAAATGACAACTGATCGTAATAATAATAATAATAATAATAATAGGAAAAGAAAGAATACTGTTATGGGATATTTGTAATAAATACTTCAGGACACCAACTCTTTCCCATTCTTTTTTCATAAAATTTTAAATCAAAAAATATATTTAAAGTTTGCATTATTTTTTTTTTTCTATTTATTATTACTACTACAGCGACAGTTACTGCTACTTTCGAACATTTTTAACCGATGAACTGACCAATAATAGTATTTATTATTAAATCACTATCTTTAAACTGTCACAACTACTATAGCATTAGCACATATTAATGACTGCAATAGTAATAGCTGCATTTGTCAAATATTTAGGAATTCTTGTCGTTTTACAGCATTACATTTATACCGACAAAGAAAGAGAAAAAGACGTTAAAAGTAGCACTGTGTGTTCCTAAAAATATCCTTAAGAGAGAGAGGAGAGAGAGAGAAAGAAAAATAAAGAGAAGGAGAAAAGGAAGAGAGAAAATAGATGAAAAACAAACTGATTCACTGAAACAATCAAAATTTTTGGGAGAAAAAAGGCCATTTTTTTTCCAAAAATTTAAAAATGAAAATGAAAATGGGAAAAAAATTCCAATGATAAGTGTAAATGAATGATCAATCACAATGAAATTTCTCCCATTTTTACAACCCAATTCACCACGCGCTTGCTTATCTATCTATCATTTATTCCTTCAACCAACCAACAAATTTCTTCCAATGAAACGGTTAGTCCGGTTTCCAAATCCTTTCCGATTCTTTCTACTCAAGTTATACGCATACCTACTCCTCATTCTCTTCCAATAACATCTCTCATCCATCCCATCTATTTTCTTCTTCGATCTTTCCTTCATTTAAACTTCAAACCAACAATTTTTCCTCCGCAAACTTATTATTACTCTCTTTTCCATTTTTTTTTTCCTCCTTTCATTTCAATATATAGAAAAAGATATCAATTCAATCTTCAACCTTTTACCTTTACTCAATCCCTCCTCTCTCTCTCTCTCTCCTTCCATTTCCTTTACTTTTCTTTTTTTAGACGTTTTTCGAACCATCGTCAACTTTACACTCTAATCTTCATTTTGCACTAATTTCATTTTTTCCTCTCTTTTAAAAATACACCATCACATGTCCGCTGATTATCATACTTAATGCTCATTGAGAGTATATCAAGAGAATATGAGGATATCTTATCCTTATCATCACATTGTTATCACCACTATAGACAATACGTCATTAAAAATTTTTTTCATTTTCTGACAACTTATGAAAAGATAAAAATATTTCACCGAAAGAATATCGACAATATTTCATTATGATACCATCTCTTTCCTTTTACATCTCCTCTTTCTCATTACTTTTGATTCCTTTAATAACATCCATTTCAACAATATTTCTCCTTTCATCAAATAATAATGTTTCATAATTATAAATACGATTAATTTTAATCGAATGCTATTTAGTCAAAAAAAATTCAAATAAATTTCATCATTTTTTCCCCACGCAAATTTTTTTCATCAATTTTTTCCTCCTAAATTTTATACTGGTGACAAAAATAAAGATTTCTCCTGTTATCACAATAATTCGAACATTTGAACAATTGTGCACAGATGCCTTTGGAAGGATGCATGGTTTGTAAATCGCTTGCATAACACACACATGAACAACACTGTTTCTCCTTTTTACTCTTTATCTTTTATTTAAACAAATTTTGTTTTAAAATTCTAGTAAATAAAATACAAAAAAATCATGATTGATATTATTGGTTATCAACCAACCAAAAATGAACTCTTCCAAGCATCATTATCATTACTATCATCAACACAAATAAACAACAACAACACCACCTCGTACATGAGACACAAATCACATTATTGTATGTCCTAAATCTTCCTTTACCCTTCTTCTAATTATTTAATTGTCATCAACGAAAAAAGAAAAATCTCTCTGACAGTTCCTATTCCAAAAAAGAGGAAAAACAGAGAAATAGAAGGAGAGAGAGGAGAGGAAGACAGAACACAAACTTTTCCACATATGGTCGACCAAACTTACATTTTCGTCCAATCTTCATTTTGCTTTTCTTCTCATTCTTTCCTATTTTTTCTTCCGTATTATCTAACACAATATATAATATAATCATGAATCAATAAATTAGCATGTTATTATAAAACAACGAAAAGCGTTAATTTATTCCGGTCCGGAGG